CATTCTCTCCTGGCTCAGGGGAAGAAGGTTCTGGAAACAACCTCAGAACACACACATTCTGCAGGGGCCATGTTGTCACCTCATCAGGCCTCACTTAGGATTGGGGTCCTCACTAGCCAGCTGCCCAGGGCCCGAGGCCTTCCTCGGGAAGCAAACACCACCTTTTACAGGGACTGATTTTGCTCCTCGAATCATTCTGCAAGCATTTGGAGTGCACAATCCCAGGTGCTGGTATGACCCTGCAGTGACCAGAGGACAGATGTATACAAGGGCTCCTCAGCTCAGCAGCTGGTCCTAGGCAAGGGAGGCTGGGGCGGGAGGTGGTTGGGCTGAGAAAGTGTTAAAGGAGGCAGGTGTGGTGGCACACATCCTTAGTCCCAGCACTTGGAAGGAAGATGGCTGCGAGGTCCAGCCCAGCCTGGTCCACATCAAGTTTCAGGCCAAATACACAGAGGGTCCAGGATAGCAAGGTGACGGTGGGTGAAGGGACAGAGGCATATGAGTGAGTTGGGGTTGGCTTGGCTGCAGGGCTCTTGCTGGGGTGAGGTGGTGGCCCTGGGGGTCTGAGGGAGAGCGGGGCTGTCCTTTCCTCTCCTTTCCTCCTCTACAATCCCCCCCCCCCCCCCCAGGCTAAGCTCTGCCCAGCCGGGCTAAAAAGCAGGAAACTGCACTCCGTGTGGGTCATCGGAACCAAGAGCTTTTCCAGTCCAGGATGTGGACAGATGAGGCTGGAGAGCAGGGAGCTTCCCTAAGCAACTGCAATCTGCTGCTGGGAGCAGACTGGTCTCATTCATTCATACCGAGCAGCGAGGGGGCACGGTCTTTGTCATCCAGAGCCCTGAATATCCTGCGTGCCAGGGACCACAGCTGTGGCCTGAGCTTGCAGAAACCCTGTAGAAAGATAAACATGAAAAGTTCTGCCAGCCTGGTGCACTTCTGGGCTCTGGTTTACGGGGCAAGTCTCATTAGCTTGATGCTTTTCCAGCCCGCTAGGGCAGCCGACTGACGCAGGATTTAACCTAATCACATGCGGTGGGCCGAATCCAATTTTGTTAGAGCAGGAGGGCTGGATGAGAGCCCCCAGGGATTGCGTTCAGGGTGGGGGCCTCCTCCAGGCATCATGAATCTATGAGTCGCTTGGGGGAAGTCATTTTAGCGACACTAATCAATTAGCCTGGGAGGCTGAGCTGCCTATGGCAGAGGGGATGGCGTGTGGGGTGGGGCTGGGGGGAGGGGGTCCTAGCTTCCTTCCGACAGCTGAGATCACTGGCCTTTCTCCCACTGCCTGGTTATGGTGACAGGCCATGAGAAATGGGGCTGTCCAGGGACAGTGGCTCAGAGGAGAAAGGGTGAACCCAGGAGCAGGCATTGGGCTGGGCGGAGGTCCTGCGGATGTCAGCTGAGTTAGGAATGGTCGACCTCCAGTCTCACTTCAACCTCCCTTCTTCATGCTCAAGTCACTAACAGCACCTTGGTACCCATGCCAACAGGGATAGTCTCTCAGGCCGCAGTCATTGTTAGCTCCTAACTCTATGATCGAGAGGTGGAAAGCATGGGCCTGGCTGGCGGGGGGGGGGGGGGGGGGGGGGGGGCGTCTCCACCTACTGCTGCCTGACTGGGCTATACCAGTAGAAACCCACAGCTCTGGTTGCTCTCCGGAGAGCCTGGGGACATCTCTGAGCCTCATCTGCTGACGCCCACAGGAGCCCCGTTACTGCATCCCTGAACCCCCGTCTCCTGCCAGCAGTTGGCTTAAAGCTGCAGTTGATCTTGCTTTAAAAAAAAAAAAAAAAAAAGGTATCTTTGTATACTGATCCAATAAACATCAACATTTTGTTTCGTTTTTCTCCAGTTTCTTTTTGAAAGGAGTAAAGTGTGACAGTCTAGGCCTCTGGTTTCATATGTTCCTGGGGCTCCCTCTCTCCCATCTGAGTGACCCAGGGCTCAGGAAAAGCTGCCCTATCTCTAAGGAGGCCCTCCCAACAAAACGCCCCAGAGGGAGCCAACAGAAAGACAGGTGTGTTGGGAGAGGGGACCTGGCAACCAGGGAAACCTCTAAAAGGAGGCCTCCTGCCCCCAACGACACTCGTTCTACAGACAGAAAGGCAAGGACCAAAGCGAAGGACGCATGAGGGAGGCAAGGGACGAGTGGGGCCTTGACCTATCACCCCACAGCCCCTTTCACTCCATTCACCCCCAAGATCCCCCGCGCTCCCCGATTCTCAGATCCCACTGCCCCAGGGTGGCCCAGGGAGAGCCAGAGGCTGCAGCCTCGTGGGAGTGTGGGCCGCTCACCATCCTCTTCCTCAGGCTCTTCAGTGGGCGGCCCTGTCTCGCTGTCCGAGTCTTGCTCTTCATCCTGCAAGACAATGGCAGGGGTCAGTGCTGTGTAGCTAGCCAAACCCTGTCCTGTCCTGTCGGGAGAGCGTGAGATGTGGGCCCCACAGTGACCACCTCCTGAACCAGGGAAGCGAAGCGGTGGGTGAGGAGGGCGTGGTCCAGTGTGAGCACATCTAGCAGCCATGGTGGGACCTGTGGTGTCAGGACAAAGCCAAGGGCGAGGAGGGGGTGACAGGTAACCCTGGGTACAAGCCCTCGACTTAGGCCACTCCTAAGTAGAGCCTGTCCAGGCATTTTGGTAAGTGGCCTGGAACCCTCAGCCTAGTAAGAGACAGGGAGAAAGCTGGCTGTACTACCTAGGGCCAAGGCCAGCTCAACAGCCCAAGATAGTGGCCTTCTGGATGCTTCTAATGTTATTTTCTGTCTTCAGTCAGCTCAGTGACCATTTACCCAAAATTGGAGCTCCACACTCTTAGCCTGGTCTCACCCACACATGGATTCCATAAACAGATGGCTGGGAGAGGCATCCCACCCCGTCCTGGGATGGCCTTGGTAGAAGGAAGGAGTGACTTCAACTTCAGGAATGTTTGAGGATGAGAGAGACATGTGATCGGCCAACTATGTGGGCCTGGAGGATGTGGGGAGGGGATGAGAGGCCCAGGGAACTGTGGTGTGGAAGCCTAGCAGGCCACTGTGCAAACATTGAGTTTGAGGGGGAGGGCATCGTAGAGCCTGCATTGATGGAGGTCTGGGGTGCCCAAGATACCCCAAGAAGCAGTCAGCATCAGTAGGAGGAGGCTCCCAACAGAACAGCAAACTGCGCCTGGGAATAAAGGTTTTCACAAACCCCATGGTGGTTGATGGGTTGCAAGCGGCGAAGTCTGGGGCTTTGATCTCCTTAGGATACAGGGCCAGTGCCTGCCACATAGCAGAGCTGATAGATTTGGTGCTAGCTATGTGGAAGCCATACTGCCCCAGCATAGACAAGGCTGTGTCCTGGCAGCAGACATCTCCCCAGTTTTGCAAAGCAAGCTATCTTTGTAGCTAAGGGGGGTGAGCAGGCCGAGAAAGGAGACAACCCTGTTGATTCAGAGGACTCACTCTGAAGAATCTAGTCTAGACTAGGACTTTTATACAACAGTGCTAGAAGCTATTGGGAGTTAAGAACCTCTTAGCTAACTAAATACACTTGGCTAACACCATCTCCAAAATGTTAACCAGTCCAAAGTACTCTCCATCTTGTTCCCTTCAGATCAGGCGGGATCACTCGCTGAACCTGGAGCTGGGCTGGCAGCCGCCATACTACCCAACGGTCCTTTTGTCTTTGACCCCTCAGTGCTGGAGTTACAGGTCTATGAGTACATGTTGTTTTTACGTGGATGCTGGGGATGCAGGTCCTCATACACACTCAGCAAGCACCACCTCCCCAGTCCCTAGAATAGGTCTTGATCTAAGTCCTATATCCTCATCAGAGAGAATCCCGGCACACACAGAAGACCACATGCATGCCAAGGAGGAGAGAACTCCCAGAAGAAACGTGCCTTGCCAACCCCTTGGTTCTGGACTTTTGACCTTAGAGAAAATAAATCGCTGTTGCTTAAGCCCCCAGCCCATGGCATTTTACTGCAGTGGCCCTGGCAAACACATACATCAGGCTTCCGGTGACTTCCGGTAAGCCAATCTCACGAAAACTAAACACTGTAACACAGGCTGATGTCATCCTGCGGGTCCCCCAGCAGGGCTGGACCTGCCTGCTGCTCTCTGCAGTGTGCTAAATAAACCTGCCAGCTTTCTAAACAAAACAAAGCAACAGCCAATCACCCCACGGAGCCTCAGCTCAGTGTCACTGAATGGATACTCTGTTTTAACTGCCTATGTTCCCAGTGAATTTTCCAGTTTAGCTTCTTCCAGCGGTGGCAAGAGACTGAAAGTCTCCAATGAGCATCCCCAAGGACCCAGGCAGACAGTACTGCAGAGAAAGGGTCAGGCAGGCTTCTGGAAGGTTAGAGGAAGGCATAGTGTAAGTGTGTGTGTGTGTGTGTGTGTGTGTGTGTGTGCCCATCTGATGCTCCAGGAGATGCTTCTGTCCGGATCCTACCAACAGGGTCAGCAGGAACCCTGTGCTAGCCACCAAAGCTAACCCAGGGTGTGATGACCTGTACAAATCTGATGCCCATCTGGACTGACCTTAGACCATGGCAGTTCCACAGGCAGGTGGAGCTCTGCTCCCAACTCTTGGGGGGTGGAGGTGTTCCATGAAAAGGTAAAGCAGGTGCAGATGGAGGAGACTGCCTGCAGATCTCTCCCACTAGCTGAAGGCTATTTTCATCTGTGCACGGGGCAGGGAGAGTTGGCAGTTTGGCTAGAAAGCAGAGCTGTCTCGCGCCCGTCAGCTCAAACCTAGAGTCCTTCCAGAGGTCTCAGCAGATCAGTTCAGCTACCTCCCCGCCTCCAAACAATGTTGGGAGGACACTTGGGCCCCACTCACTAAGTCTCTGCTTGCCACTGATGAGAAGGAGTAGTCCTTAGGGCAAGGAACTTCGGTTCAGAGCCGAACCACTCACCCTGGCCCAAGCTGGCCTTCTCAACCCATCCAGTTCTTCTGGGGCAGCAGCCTGATACTCATTCCATCACAGCCCCCCCCCCCCCCGCCAAGAGTCCAGCCCAACTCCGGCCCCCAGACCCTGGAAGTCTATCCTTGGCTGGCCCACTCGGGCCTTCCTGAGGTCCCGGGCCCACTCTCCTCTCCTCTAATCTCCCCTACTTTGAGAACACTGCAGATGTCTTCACTCTTTGTTTTAGATGCATGGATGTCTAGCTTGTGTGTTTGTCTGGTCTGGTACCACGTGCATACTCGGTGTGACAGAGCTCAGAAGAGAACAATGGATCGCCAGAGCTAGAGTTACAGAGTTGTGAGCTTCCATGTAGGCGCTGTGATTCGAATCTGGAAGAGCAGCCAGTGCCCTTTAACCATCTCTCCAGCCCCCACAGTCTCCGTTTGTTTGTTTGTTTGTTTGTTTGTTTTTTGAGACAGTCTCATAGTCCAGGCTGGCCTTGACACTAAACTTCCAATCCTTCCGCCCCTACCTCCCACGTGGCACCGGCTAGGCACACCAGTCTTTAGGGCCTGTGATTTATCCTTTGTCATTCACTCATGGGTCTCTTGACTCCCTCTGTCTGACCAGAGGTCTCCCAGACCACGGGTCCTGACAGGGCATAGCTGTTTTGGTGCCTGGATCTGCAGAACGATAAGAGGGGTCAAAGTGTCTCTACTCGGGCAGCTCTCTTTGTCTCTATGCACTGGGCTCCGGTCAGGCCAAAGGGAGAGAAAGACACTTAGCACTTCGGCAGACAACAGACCCAATGTAAAACGTGCCAGCTTCTGCTTGAGCACGTGTTGCACTGGGGCGCTCACTCCCTTACAGGGTGGTCTGCCTCTCAGGAGCATAAGACAGGGCTTGGGAGTAAGTTCTGCGGCAGTGGGGAGCTAGCCAGGCCACGGGCAGGGAGGGCAGAGGCAACTGAACCTGCCTTTTGCAAGGAGCCAGCCGGCAGCAAGTTTTTGTTCTGTTTTTTTTGTGGGTTTTGCAGTTCTTTATTGAAAAAGATCCTACAGGTGCCTGCTGCGATGGACCTGTGGTAGGAGTGGGAACATGATGGGTAAGGGCCGTTCTCATCCTTGCATGCAGACATTCCTCTGCACAGACAATGTGCTCAAAAATAAAGATGACCTCACGCTGGTTAAGTGCTCTGCGGAGAGCCAGATAGGAGAGCCGAAAGAGAAGAGGGTGATTGACATCTGCTAATGTGGTCAGGGGCCATGGAGACAGGATGTGCACAGGGCTTGTACAAAGATGCAGGCTGGGCACACCAGGCAGTCGGTCAACATGGGTGTCTAGACACGAGCACAAGGAAAACACCGGTGGCCTCCGTGGGGACAGTGAACATTGTAATCAAGTTCCTTCAGCCTTAGAGGCCGGAGTCTACCCCGCTGTAGCGGAAGCTGCAGAGGGCTTCAGGCAAGGAAGCTGGGATGTGGCTTGTGAGTTAATGAAAGGCAACCCAGGACCTGATGGAGCTGGGCAGCCTAGGGCACATGGGTAGTGGGAGCCTGGAAAGGGTTATCGGGCAGCCTGCAGGGACACAGCACAGAAGAGTGGCCAGCAAGACGACAGGGGAGCTGTTCCCTTGTGAGGAGGCTCTGGGAGACAGGCAAGTGGGGAGCTGGGCAGGCCGGGGAGGAAGAGCGCAGACCATGACAGACACCAGAGGTCAGGTGTCCGCAGGGCATGGAGAGGTCTTTGTGAGTACATCTGGGTGTCCTCAGTGTTATCAGGGCAACGGTGGCCGGGTGTTGAAGAAGGCAGCAATGGAGTAGGCCCAGAAGCCCCTCAGTTGATATTATACACCAGAAGCCTTCCACTAGGGAGAGGGGAGGGGGAGAGAGAGACCCCAAGCACGAGAGCACACTCTTACACACACTTACACACTTACACACAAGCACACACTGGGCAAGGGGAGGCAGGGTGGGGGTGGAGCCTGGGGAAGCAGTGTGTGTGTGTGTGTGTGTGTGTGTGTGTGTGTGTGTGTGTGTGGGTCGGGGCAGACCGACTCCTTGTTTTTTTGGCTAGCACTCCCACCCCAACCATATCCTGTTCAGACATCCAGTAGAAACCACCATCCCAGGCTCTAAGCACAGCCCTGTCAAGGACACATTCTCCAGCCTGAAGCAAACTCACTCAAATAAGCGGGCATGACACACTCAATCCCATCACATTAACAGTTTGGGGCACTGCTCCCAAGAGAGGGTGTAGAGGGCACCAAGAGCTTCATAGAACCCGTGTAACAAACACAGAAGAACCCCACAGGCGGCTCTGCATTCCCCAACCCCGGGAAATGCTAGGCTGAAGCCCCTCCGCCACATTTCAAAGCAGAAAGAAGGAAAATCAAGAAGGGATGGACGAAGTCGGAATTGAGAGAGTTGAGGAATGCAGCCATTGGTTTAGGACAGCCAGTTTA